TCAAGCCAAGGGTTACCTTTTTCAAAATCCCTCCAAAAGTGCCAAGTTACAAATTTGTCCTCACTCTTCATTTTCCTATAAATAGAGGCTCCCTCTATGTCATTTTCCACACCAGAGCACTCTTAGAACCAAGAGGAAATCACAGCTCTCACTCCTTTCTTGTTTACTTCATTTTCAAAAATCTCAAGTTTCACCAAAAATCTGTCTTGGGCAGTTGGCTTCCAAAACCCATTTCCACACATTCCAAACCATCAAAAACCATCTGCACAATCCATAAATGTTGTGTAGAAGGTGTTCATACTCTTAAACCACTCAAAAACACCATTCTCCCAAAAGTCAACTCTCAAACCAAGCAAGTTTGACCTTACACTCAAAATTTGCCAAACTTCTGTCCAGACTTGTTTTCATCATTCTAACCATCCATATACCTTTGATATATGATGCATTAACTGTCCATAACATAAAGTAACCTCATCCTCATTCATTTTGAGATTTGTCACAAGTTCTTCACATTTCCTTCAAGTGCAAGAAAGTTGTTTGCATCAAAATTTTGGTTGGACAGCAGTTGAAGTGTTTTCAAGGTTTTCCATATTGCAACAAGCTTGTGTGGAGGTCTACAAAAGGTTAGTGGTTAATATCCTTTCATTTCTGTCATAAACATGATTGATGTGCTTAGTATGTATTGTGTTTAATTGCAAAATGTGATCTATGAGCAAATCTGCCAGTTTGTATTATGCCAACTATTTTGAGTATGTAATTACCTTGGAATGCCATTGCCTTGATGATTATGTCTTGTGGATGTTGAGTTTCATTTTTGTCATGAGTTGTTGATTGTTATCACAAATCATTTGTCTTATGTTGGTTCTGCTGCAAAACAGCTTGGGAGGTCAGGGCAACCTCACTTAACTTTGATTCTTTGTTGACCATTTTGGATTAGGATCCCTACATGTGTTATTCATGTTGTGTTTGAATTCTTGAAACTAGATTTGATTTGGACTTACAACTTTTTGTTCATGCTTTCAATCAAAATGTACAATTTGCAACTGATATGCCCTTCTCAAATCCAATGCCTTATTGTTGTGTCTTTATGTGAAAACTGTGCATATGCCATGATTGAAATATGTGCCTGCCTGTTTTACACTTGACTGCCAATGTTTCATGCTATGATATTTATGCATCTCAACTATTTTGAAGAGGGAACTATTGGTTATTTGGTATTGCCATGCTTGTCTTGCTATTAGGTGGTAACCTTGTTGAACTTGATAAAAACATTGGAATGATCCATATGACTGTTAAAACCTGTTTTGATTCATGATACTTTTATTGTTGTCAAATATTTGTAACCACCACAAGATGTACACTTTGAAATTTGAGGCTTGCCATGATAAATGCACATTTGTTTTGTCTTGAAATTTCTGCTTGAGGCTTGGTCCATGTTTGTTAACATAAGAATGAGGTATCTAACATGTTTGACATCATCATGTTCATCTTGCATCAATTACTGTCAGCATGAGATTTGTATGCTATGAGTTTGCAGTCTTTGTGAAGTTAGGACTGTTTTGTGTAGAAACTGTTTTCAATTGACATGACCTTGTGCTGTTTGTGTTGCCAAATGTGATAAACATGTATCCACCTTTCCATGTATGTTTCAAATGCTTTGTAGGTCATGTTTGAAACCTGTCTTGATTTTGCTTGATCATTGTTTAAATGTTTGTGTCATGCCTATGTTGTCTCAAATCCAACTTCCATATCATATACCAGATTTTGCTTGAAGTTACATTGATCAATCCTTGCATCATGTTTGGATTCTAGAGTATGCATGAATCATGTGTGTGTGATAAGTATGTAGGCTGCCTCATTCTTTCTACACTTTTTTCCAATACAAACCACAAGCATGTTTTTGAAATCACTAACAGTCATAACCAGTTTTTGCTTGAGGCCATCACTGCATATTTTTTTACATCCTAATCCCATGAACATAGTATTTGTGACTTGTGCATATCATCACACATCATCAATTCTTTCTGTCATGAGCTGGAGTTAACACTTTGCATACCAAGCATGTTGTGCAATTTACATGACAACTTTTGATTTGGAACTGTTTCTGTTTGGTCTAGGCATTTAGGATCATTAGATAACATGTTTATAAGATGTTCACACTTTCATTTGATCATGATTCCTCTTATTTTGAACTATGGTCATCATCATGCATTTTCAAGGCATTCTTTGCAATTAACATGTCATTTTTTGATTGGACTTGATTTGGTTTGATTTTTTGCATCAGAATCATTGGTTTATACATTTATGAGTTGTGCATACCCTCACATGTTCATATTTCTTGTTGTTCTGAGTTGTGCCATTCAAATTGCATTTTCAAAGCTTCACACTACCATTCACACACCAGTTCCTTGTTTAAAGCTATTTTTGTTTGGCCTTGGCACCTAGAACCCTTAACTCACATTTTTGAATGTTGCTTGAGCCATTACATAGGTTTAAAAGCACTTGGTTTGATCCTTGGTTTCCATAATGCATTTTTAAGCTTCAAATTGCATTTGTATTCGAATGTCAAAATATATGCATCACCTTAAGAAACTGAGATCACCATTGAATTCCTCATGAAACTTCACTCAAAATAGACTAAAATTTTGTTGCATTTGGTTAAGTATTGGTGAAGTTACGATGTTGTCGTATCCATGCTTTGCTTGCTTCTCATGAGTGTTGCCTTGCCCAGATTTTTATGCCTTGTTTAAGTATTTAAATTTTAGGGGTGGAAAAATACATGGATGTATCACCACCCCAGTGGTTAAACTCTCACCTTCTCATGCGCCTTGTACCTACTTGTCCTGGGTTCGATCCAGATTGGATATCAACCCATTTTGCTATTTTTTCCCCTTTGCCATGTTTTGATTATTATTGTGTTTTCTTCCATTTCATTCACAAACGTGCACCCTAGCCCAGATGGCTTGATTTTGAATTGTTATTCAAAGGGTGGTGGGTTCAACACCCACCAGGCGCCTCCCCCTCTTTTTTTTTATTTATCACTAATTGCCTTATTTTAATTGTTTAAATCTTGTAAAAATCGTAACTTGTTCGTTTCTTATTATTTTTAATCGGTTCTTTTTGCATCGGTCTCGTATTTGTATATATTTCCATTTGATGCATTAACATTCTAGAATTTTTATTTGTGAATAAAAATTTTGCATTGAAAACACTCATATTTCTTTTTAGGGTTTTTCTACCCTCCCGATCATTTCAAGCTTGTGATTTATTTTTCTCCAGTGATTATTATGATGTGAATTCTATGTTTGACAAATATTGATGTAATTGTAATTACTTGTTGATTGTAAGCATGATGTTTGATTCATTTGCTTTCCACGTAACTTCCCCGCGATGTTTGACTTATTTGCATTGGTAGTTACCTTCGCCTTCGTCAAGATATACTTAAGTCTTTTTCTTTCATTGAGTCTTGTAAGAACTCATATTTGCTTGCCTATTGTCATACGCTTGCATGCTTTGGTTGTAACCATTCACCTAATTTGACGTACTTGCTTGTTGTAACATGCTTGTATATGTTTGGTCGTAACCATGTTCTTGTATTTATCTTGTTTAAATGTTTATGCTTTGTTAAGTTTATTTTCCCCAAGTGATGAAACTCTTTAGTTCTCATCCAAGTTGCCTCCCCTTCTATCCTTCCAAAGGAAAGTCTCTCTGTTGACCTTTGGGTCATAGATAGCTCATCTCCCTCCCTCGACTTTGTCAAGTCATCTACACTTAGTTAAGTTAGAACCTATCCTTTAGACTTTGCTTAAGTCTAAAAAGCCTACCCTTGTTAGGAAGTGTTATTTCAACTAGAACTTAGGATAGAGTTTGTTAACTCTATGTAAGAATCATTGTCATGATTACTTACTTCCCTTTCTTGAGTGTTCAACTTAGATCTAGAGAGTTTCCTTAAATTCTACACAAGCATTGTAATGTTTGTTCCCCTTTTGAACATTGATCATAATCAAGTGTTCTTCAAACCTAGTGAGACGAACTACAATTGCTCTGATTCTATCCTAGTTAGGATACGCAGGCAGAAGATGCGATATCTTTGCGAGCAACTTAGTGTATATATCTTTAGGTTTTAACCTACACCTTTTATCCAATCCATAGCAAACATTTAACAACTTAGCATACAACAAACAAAAGGTTCCTGTAGAGTACTACAGATGTTTAGGATGTGAGATACTTACCCTATGCATAACCAACCCCCGATCCCCGAATCTCTTAGCATTGTTGTTACATCTCGCAAAAGGTTCTTTCTCTCTTTAGACCTTTCCTTTGGATAAATTAAAGTCCGGTTGTGAATTCAATGAATTAAAGATTCAAGTTAATCAATAGCTTGGTATCCAATTCTCGCCGCAACAATCATCTTTCCCACGATAACCTAGCCGCCCAGCCACGATTCTTCTTCTCCCACGGAAAACCCTAGCCGCCACAAAATGGTCCCTTTAATCAATACCTGGTCGCCATCGTGAAAACCACCATATCCTCCATTCGAAGACCCCTATCACTATTTCTCTCCGCCGCCGTCTTTTTCTCTTTTCCCCCTTTGTTCCATTTCACCATTTCTTTCCTCTTCGTCCACGAATAACCTTCTGCAAAACCCAACAAATCTCCTCCTTCCTCCACCTCCAAACCCCTATACCCATTCCCAAACATTAAACAAAAACACAATTTAAAACCTTCATCTCATCTTCTTTACCCTTCCTCCATCAATCTTCGAACATCTCACCTTCAACCCATTTCTCTCCATCTCCTAAACGGCTAACTCCAAACTCATAACAATGATTCCCCTTCGAACAGAGTAACCAACCAACCAATAAACGAACAGAGTCATGGCTAAAGATGTTGCAGTTTAAGAACAATGAGAATACTCTGCAAAAGATTACCCAAATCCACCAATTTTCTTGCGAAATTTCTTCTCCAAATTTCTTTGAACTTCGCATCACGAATTAACGATGGCGAATGATGGCGTTTCCAACGACATCAAAGATCAACACGAGGAGCAATCTGTGACTAAGATCTCTGTGTTGGAGCGTGAGAGAGACGAATTGGTGAGTGAGAACAATGAGAAGAAGAAGCAAATCAAGAAGTTGATGGTGGAGATTGATGAAGTGAGGAACAAGGGTGAGGAGACGAGGCAGAAGATTGTTGAGTTGCAGGATGAAGTGGAGAGGCTGCAGGATGCTGTGAAAGCTACGGAGGCAATCACGGCTAGGGCGGCAGAGCTTGAGACTCATGTGGCTAGGCTTCAGCATGATGTGGTTTTGAATTTGAATGCTGGGGAAGAGTTGAAGAAGGTTAAAGCAGAGAGGGAGACGAGGTTGAGGAATTTAGAGAAGAGAATGGATGTTCTTGAGACGAAGAAAATCGAGGAGAGGAATCAATACAGTGGTTTTCTCATGAAGTAATGGTTCAAGATCCAAACATTGGAAATGTTGTTTCTCTAATACCCCCGTCAGTTTTTTTATTTAAAAAAACATTTTTGTTATAAATAGACTTTAGAGTTATTATTTTATAAACTATTTTTTTTAGAATTGTTTATATATTTTTTCTATTAGTTTTTTTTTAGAATTGTTAATATATATTTCAAAAATAAATTTTAGGGTTTTCAATATCTTTTTTAAATTAATTTTTGGAGTTTCTATTATTTTTCTAAATAGTTTTTTTAGAATTGTAAATATTTTTTCTAATTAGTTTTTTTAAAGAAATTGTTAATATGTTTTATAAACTAGTTAGAGTTTAATAATATTTTTCTAAATTTTGTTTTTATAGTTAGATTTTGTTTTTTTAATTTATCTTTGAGGATTTTATATTATATTGCTTCTGTCGATGACGAGACCTCCGAAAGTCATTACTAGTCAAATTATTGATAAATAATGATGCATTCGAGACCACCTTCTTTCTCTCCTCATTTCTTCTTCATTTTTGATTTTATTTAAGTTTTCACGATCTATGAAGTCTTTCAATTCGTAAGCGTCGTTTTATCGAAGTTGATAACCTTCTCGATTTCAAATCTACAGAAAATGACCATTTAGTCATTTTCTTTACTTTGGGATTGTGATAGGCTACCTTCGATTAATCGACATAATGTTTACGATTATGACGAGATCCCACCTTTCTTTGGTCCGTGCGACACGATTAAATCGGAGAATGATCCTCAATATCATTTCTCTATCTTGTCCATAGCACTGATATCAATTTACGCGACCTCCTATAGTTCGAATTTCATCATAAGTCGAGCTACTACAGTTTAGCGTCACATTTCGCCCCGAGTCGATTCACTAACAAACTAACCACTAACTTTACTTTCTGTCAATATACAACTGTTTTAAATTCAATCATTATATTCTTGTACATATTGTTATATATTCTGTATATTACCCTTATCCTGTATATATTCATATATTCACATGTACATTCTTTCAAAACACTTAAGAAATTATCGAAACCATAAAACTCAAAATTTGTGGGCTGTTGTTTGTTTATCCGAGTGTCAGATCTTTGGACATTTTCAGGAACCCTAGCATGGAGTTGTGCCCGACTTTTGCTCAAGGCGTAGTTTAGAACACATTGCGCACACACGGCTTCCTCTTGGGCTACCTGACAATGAGATCTTTTATTTTCGTGTAATCCTGTGTAATTTGCATGTACCTCTCTCCAATTTTCGATGTACTTATTTTGTATTTCTTTGATTGCGGCTTATCGTCTAAGAGCACCCCCAGGGACTAGAATATCTATTTTCAAACTAATTCTCGATTCGTCATCGAACCATTTTCAAACCCACTTCCATTTCACCACGTTTTTGCACGCAAATACAAGTCAAACCCTCGATCCAACGTCAAGCGGATTTTCTCAACCAACTTTCAAACCAATCCACCACTTCTTCTTTTACAACTTTTTCTCCTAAAACCTTAGTCTCGTACCAAGTGTATTTTCAAACTCTTTTCCTAAATAAACTTGAACGGTCGTGGAGTGGTTAGGCGTAGGCCTTCTCCTATCCTGAGTGCTTGACATTACCTTTAGGGTTCAATGTCGCAAAGCACTTACCATGCAGGAGCAAACATATCTTTTAATAAAGAGAATAAAGTTCTCTTTGTATTGAATTAAAGAGCGAGGATTGAGTGCAGACTTGTTCCTCTCCAAGTGTCAGGATACTCAATGTATAGTATGTGGTCTCGATACTCGTCTTTCAATACGAAGACGCGACTCTATTCTCCACACCTTTTCATAACAAAACTTTGAGATAAAGAATTGGGTACTACCCGCAAGGGGTTACTATCCGAGGACCTATTTTATCCCTAAAAACAACTTCCATAAATCAAACGTGACATCTTGCCTCGAATGGTGAAAATTAATCTTTTCAAAAAGGATATGTTACGTCCGTTCTGCCGCAAATAGGTAACGCCTAAGTCTCCAACGAGCGAGTAGCAATACACTTAAACTGCTAGAATGCGCATGATAGCATCATCCATAAAACACCATTTAACCATAGGTCGAACTACAGTTGCTCTGATTCTTTACTTCTTTTAAGTAAAGATACGTAGGCACAAGGGCCACAATCCTTACCGAGCACATTTTCCCATCTATATCCGTTGTTCCCCGAACTACCCAAATTGTGCGTGTGTTGCTCTACCATCCTTTTGGTGGTAGTAGCCGGTGTGGGTTCGCTCCATCATCCTTTTGTTGATGGGTCTATCATCCTTTTGGTGCCATATTGTGCGAGTGTTGCTCTACCATCGTTTTGGTGGTAGTAGCCAGTGTGAGTTCTCTTCATCATCCTTTTGGTGATGGGTTTGTCATCCTTTCGGTGCCAGATTGTGTGAGTGTTCCCTTACATCCTTTTGGTGTATGGGTTGTGTGTGTATTGCTCGATCATCCTTTTGGTGATGGGTCTCTCATCCTTTTAGTGCCAGATTGTGCGAGTGTTCCCCTACATCCTTTTGGTGTCAGGGTTGTGTGTGTTTCGCTCTATCATCCTTTTGGTGGTAGGAATATCATCCTTTTGGTGTCAGATTGTACTAGTGTTCCCAACATCCTTTTAGTATCGGGGCTCTGTGTGTGTCGCCCCATCATCCTTTTGGTGATGGCGACCTTTTGCTAGTTATTTATTGTCTACTCGAGGGTAGACCTTGATCTAATATCCCACCTCCCAAGCATTTCCTTTCTTTTCGGACAAATTCAGGATTTTCTTCATATCTAATTGTCTTCTACCTCGAAAGGATGAACGCCATAGAAATTCATTTTTCTTGGTTTAAGCCAATTAGATAGGGGCATCTGTCATACCCCAAATTTGTCCTATCTGAAAATAACCTTCAGTCGTGCTTCTATCCACTAACTACTGTTCATAAAATCAAAATTTTGTTGTTTCTTCTTACTGACTGAACTCAGGGTTGTTGCAAAAGCAGCAGGGTCAAGATATGCATGCTTTAAGTGGGTTATGGCTGAGGTTCCAGTTAATTTCTGTGCCAATTCATGTTATTTGTGTATGGGTCAGGTTGTTAGTGTTCATGGTTAAAAATCAGTAAGGAGTAGATCATGGTAAATTGGGTTTTTTTTTTCCAGTTGATCCATAATGTTGTTCAAGAGATTCCATAGTGAATATTGTAGTTAATCATGGTCAAATGGCTATATGTTTAAGATTAATTCATTTGTGAATACATTCCTTAATGTATGATCTTTTAGGTCACGAAATCATCAAAGAATTAGCAAGTGCCTAATTTGGTTCATGTTGAGTAATTTCTAAAGCTTCTATGTAAGAATGATCATGATTATTTAACAAGGAATCCAATCTTCATCTGATTTCAAGCATGGAAATAAGTTTTAAATCATTGGAGTTCTTTTTGGAGAAAGTGGTTTAGTCAAGAGTAATGTGCAAATAATGTTTGTTCTTCTTACAAAGCCTAATCACATATGAATAAAGCCCAGTAGAATAATACAATTTCAGTCAGTCACCTCTCACCTATAAATACAAGCAATCCATTTTTCAATAAGGGGAGAGAGAGCTGTAGAATAGCCTTAATATGAACCTTCTCAAATCATTCCACATGCTTCCTTTTTTCTTTCTGCAACACTCAGAAGAGATCTCCCCCAAAAACCATTTTTCCGTCCTAAACCAAAAGCTCCAAGAACCAAAAATATGCTGAAAATCCCATCTTCTTCAACCTTTCATCGACCATCGATTCAAACAGCCCTTCCACCATGAATCAAACCCAGAGCAAAATAAAATCAGAACAGAAATCCAAAATTAGAAAGAGGAGATGAAGAGATAATGAATGGAAACCAAACAAATCCAGAAATAAAATAGAGGGTAGAGGAGAGATTGAAACAATGTACTGAAACCTTAAATCTAACCTGAAACAAAATCTCAAAAGCATAACCGAGCAATTTAATTGAAACTTGAGACGAAGGGAGAGAATTTGTAGCACAAACCGAGTTGATACTTCAAGGAAATTTGACGGGTAGGCGTTGATTTTATTTGAAGAGGAAAATTATGTTTCATTTGCCCTGTGTCTCACCTTGCATTTCTGTTGTTCAATTTGACGCAAGGTCGCTGATGATGTTTGGCTTTTCGTAAAGGATTGATGTTGGGCCAAAGAGTCCGTGTCCTTTTTGTCAGCCCCTCATATTTTTTTTCTTACCCATTTTGCTGATAATAATATGGGCTTTAGGCTCATCTGTGACCACTATCATACACACACCCTTGTATTTCTTATACACCTCCATCAGTTTGTTTTTAGGGATTTTATTTTATCCATTGTTCTTGCTAAGGTGATTATTAAAAATCTCTTTAATTTTTTATATTTCCATTTTAATCATTTTGTTAACAATTTCAGTTAGTTTATTAGATTTCTTTTAGATATTGTAGTTTTCGTTTCTCATTTTCGATTATACTCACTTTATTTTATTTTTCGATCGATGAAGAGACCTAAAAAGTTATTATTAGTCAAATTATTGATAAATAGTAATTAATTCGAGACCATTTTCTTTTCCTCTCCTCATTTTCAATTCCATCTCGATTTTATTTCTTTTTTTATCTATGAAGTCTTTCGATTCGCGAACGTTGGTTTTCGAGGTTGTTAACCTTCATTATTTCAAATCTGTAGAAAATGATCATCTGGATCATTTTTCTATACTTTGGGATCGTGAGAGGTTACCCTCGATTAATTAACACGAGTTTGTGATTAAGACGAGATCCAACTCTTTTTAGTCCGTCCGACGCGATTAAATTGGAGAATGGTCCTCAATATCATTTCTCTATCTTGTTTTTAGCACGGGTATCCATTTACGTGACCTCCCATTGTTCGACTTTCTTCATAAGTCGAGCTACATCAAGCGTTACATTTCGTTCTGATTCAATTCACAAATCAACTAACCACTAACTTTACTTTCTATCAATATACAACTGCTT